CTCATTCGAAGATCGTTCGTCATCCAAGTGAATAAATCCTGCGAATCCTGGGTATCTTTCCAGAATCCCAATTGCAAGCAGTGACCGCGCGTAGCTGCCGGACTCGATTGAGTGGGGAACGACCGTCAGAATCATTGTGGTATGTTGGCGTTCTCAGTTGTTCTCGTACTTACCATTCCAAGTAACTAAAATCTGACAGCAGTTTACTACCTATCCCCCAACTGGATCGTCAGATGAATTCCATGCCTCACCCGATCCACCGCATCCCTTCCGAACTGCTGTCAGAGATTCTGATCCAAGGCACTCCTCCGCGATACACGAGTATCTCTGAGCGACGCGCCATCCTAGTTCCATCACATGTCTGCAGACATTGGCGGAATGTAGCACTGTCCACTTCCCATATGTGGACCTTCATTTTATTCCAGTGTGGGAAGGACATATTCATTCCTCGAGAGTTGGACTGCGCTCGCGCCTGGCTATCGCGCTCTGGCCAGCGCGCCCTGGAAATCAGCACATCTTCAGCAAGGCACTCAAGCGAGTTGGCTTCTAAAGCCGCTATCGAACTACTCGTCCCTCATTGCATGCGTTGGAGGGAGATTGAAACCCGCGATGTGCACTCCGATATATTTTCGCAGATCAGAGGCAACATACCCTTGTTGGAATCGGCAGATATTGGCAGGGTCAAATCATACGGATATAAACTTCTTCGCGGTGGCGCCACGCCTTCGGCGGTTGAAGCTCCAAAACTTCTCTGCATATCCGCTAGATTTTGCGTCTTTCCCTTGGATCCAGTTGGACCATTTAGATATCATAACATCTATCACCGCTGCGTTCCACCATATCTTGGTATCGGCGTCGAACGTGTCATTCTTAAGGGTGGCTGTGAATCGAGTCATCCCATCGGCCACGGGCGCAGACTTCGCCACTATCACGAACTCCAACATAACGACGTTCCAGTTAGTCAGCTCCTTACCACTAACAACCGCTCACATCCTTTTCCTGCTGGATCATTTGGTGCTTCCTGCCCTTTGCAATCTAACGCTATCAAGCCCGGGAGAGGCAGGGAGAAATCTCACATCCTTCATATCCCGTTCTGCATGCAGCCTGTCCTCCTTGCGGATCAACATGATCGCACAGTCCGAATTCATTAAACTCATGCAGCTCTTACCCACCTTGCAAGAGCTGTTCCTCATAATTAGACACCCACACGAATGGGCCCCGATGGTCGAATGCCTCACGTTTCAACGCGACTTTCGCCTGGCTCCGAATCTGCGCTCACTCGACATGCACTGGTCGTTTCCGGGTAGGGGACAGGAGGTCCTCTCGCTAGACATGTTCGCAACCATGCTCGAGTCAAGATGGACCCCCCGGAGCGCTGGCACGGATACGACGCTCATGCGTTCGCCGCTGAACCATGTCAATGTGGATCGCTGCGAAACTGAAATAATAGTCGAATCTAGATCCGCGTTCGTTCGTCTGCGGAGACTTTGGGAGGATGGCCTAGATATAACACTTCTCAACAGAGAGAGGCCCCCGCGGGATTTTCTATGGGACCCATCCTATACAACATAGTTTTTTGCCCCTGCAGTCTACCAAAAAATACACGCTATGCGCAAGGTACCAGTTACGCGTCGTAAATATGTATATCTACGAAAACGACGTTGACCATCTCATGCCATTGATGATCGATGATCGGTGAAGCTATCACAATTACAATTTACGCGTACTATGCAAGTCTGTACATGTCCGTGTCCGATATCAATCCCAATTATAATGAAGCAGCTTCGAGTTCCTGTTACCTCACCTGGACGACCCACGGCAAATTTCAAACTGCAGGTAATTGTAAGCACTTGTCAATTGAAATCGCTAGGGTCCGCGGTCAACCAGACTGCTAGTACGGGGTGCATCTTGACACGCTGGGAGCCCACATCCCATAAAAGAGAAAGGGCCACTCGGGCTTCAGCTTTAGGTGCAGCGTGGCAATGTCTGAACTGTTGCAAAATGCGAGGTACAAATGCGGGGAAAGAGCAGGACAGAGCAGCCTTGGCTCGGAGAACCAACCATCCCCGAGGCAGCCGTGAGCACTGGGTACGAGGTCTGCAAACCAGGATCTTCGATATTCATAGCACCAATACCGATACCGATACCGATACCGTCGGGGGAGTCTGAGAGCCTGCCCAACTGCAATGGATGCCTGCCCGAGCCTCAGGCATAGCATGTTATGGGCAGATGCGGATATATGTCGATAGACCCAGAGACAAACAGAGACTCAGCAAGCTCGCTCGCTGCCCCAGACCAATTACAAAAATAGTTCAGCTTCAACTCTTCAAGTGGTTGCGCTTTGGTGAAACTGATGGACCTACGCGTAGGAAGGCTGACGACCCTAGGTCGCGGTTAATGTTCATGATCCAGATTCAAGCGTAATAGCATGCGGATCCACGGAGTTCAACCAATTGCGAGACACTGAATGCATCTGAGGCTCGAGGTGCTGACCACCTACTTAGAATTTCGAATTCAGTGCCTGTACCTTTGCACTCCAAATCTGGCTCTAGAGGGATGCCGGCGGCCAGCTTCAACTTGCGGTCATATGGCGCGGAATCAGTAACATCGTGCGCACCCGTGATTTCTTCTTCCCCAGATTGCAACCGCGAGTCCATATGGCACGGGCAGCTGCTCTCCTCTCTTGTCGTCTCCCCCCCCTCCCCCCCTCCTCCTCCCTCGAAAATATACATAGGAGAAGACGAAGACTGCGATGGTGAACCTGCGGAGCCTCAACATTGATCTGGCGCCGCACCAGGCCAAAATCAAGGCGGTCTCCTTTGTCTGCTTTTTTATCGGCACTCTGCTGTTCCTGCTCACCAACTTGGGCACGCCGATTATCAAGGGGATCCACATCATGAGTGCGTGCCTGTCTTTCGCTTTCTGAGCCGAAGAAGTGGTCAAGACGGATGGGCTGATGTGCTATTGCAGGCCTGACCTCGAGCACGGACGCGCACCCCGCGAACAGCATCCGCTTCGGCATATGGGGCGCCTGTCTCACTGGGTGCGTCTCCCGTCTCTCTTCCCGCTGATTGATTTTCCAATGTCCTGATGCGTACCACTCAACTTACAGCCCGTACAACGCGACCCAGCTCCTGGGCGACGCGGCCTGCACAGTCCCGTCCCTCGGCTACGCGGTCCCCTCCCCGTACTTCAACGCCATCGGCGCAGACGACAACCTCGTCGGCGCGCTCGTCGATGGGCTCCAGATTCTGTGGCTCATGCACCCGCTTTCCGTACGTCCCATGCACCCCTTTCCCCTTTGCCGAAACCTCTGAACTCACCCCGCGCGCAGACCGGCCTCGTGTTCGCGTGCATATTCCTCACGCCCTTCCTCCACATCCGCGACGTGACGATTGCGACGTTCCTCCTTGGCGTCATCGGCGCGGGCGCGGCGACGTTTGCGTTTGCGGCGGACGTCGCGTTTGTGGTTGTGGCGAAGATACGGGTGCATGAGATGAGCCAGGGGGCGTATAAGGTCAGTAACCAGCGTGCTTTGGGTTTTGAGTGTGTTTTTGTGGGGGTTTGGCTTTGGGCGGTTGGGTGGGCCAAGGAGGCGGCGTGGAGGCGAGGAAGGCCGAAGTGAGCAGAGCTCCCTGGGCTACGCCCGCCCAGTGTTCCATTTCTCGCTCTCGTGCGCAAGTTTTCGAGCCTTCGAGCCTTCCTTAGCGTTTGAGCCTTCCCGCGCGCCTCCTCTGCGCCGTCCTCTTCCTCGCAACCACATCCACACCTACCTCACCCGCCTTCATCTGCGCCTCCCTTCTGCTTCCTCGCGTCTTCCCCTAGTCCTGTTTGCTTACCTGCGCCTGTTCATCCCATAGATCACCTGGGGCCCGCTCACCTGGATCCACTTTGTCGGCTGGCTGCTCGTGTGGCTCGGGACCTTGCTCGTGGTCGGGAACTGTTTCTTCGGGGTCAGGTGTGTATCCTTATCTTGCTCTTTTCCCTCCCTCCCTCTACCCATTACTGTTATTGTGGCCCGACTGACGAAATTGACTTTGCAGGAAATACGTATGAATACGAGTACGAGCACTTACCCTCTTCCCTGGATTTGGATCTGGAGCAGCGGGTGCGGACTGTGTTATATCGTTATTGTTATACCGAACCTTTGTTGCATGCTCACTTCTCACCCCATCCCACCGCCTCACACCTCATCTCCTACCCCTTACGCCCTACCTCCTACTCCTACTCTCATTTTACTTTACTCGTACTCCCCTGTCTGTTCTGATGTTGTAGTGTCCGATGTTGTGGTGCGCTGGTATTATGTTCTGTACGTTGCCCGTACATCTTTTGCTGCTTGTGAATCGAGTTATATACCGTATACCATTGGGATCAAATTGGGATAGTTATGCGCTGTGTTGCGTGCACTTGATAGCGAGGTGCGAGGTATATTATTATATATCGCAGAGACCATAATCCTGGTTGGTGGCGACTTGTATTGTGCATGGAGGATATTATCTGGGAACGGGTTGTAAGTTGTCACTAGCACTAGCCACTAGTCCAGGCGAAGTGTACTGGGAAGTAAAGGTGCTTACGGCTGGAACAGTAGTGCTCGAAGTGAAACCATGAGCAGAGATCGCAACCCTGCATAATCCTATCGTTGGCTAGATCATTTTACTCGCATAGACAATCGGTATGAAGCAGATACAAGAGAGAACTAGTACTCAAGAGGAGAGATTTTTCTTAAAATCAACCATCAGGCCAGAACGTAAAACGAGTTCCTGCCGTGGTTCGAATGCGGGACAGCCTGCTCGAAGTTCGAACAGCGTGGCCAGTAAAGCGAGGGCTACGGGCGAGTAGCTATAGAGCGAGCAGGCCAACCTCCGGAGTCCGGATCCTCCCCTGCGTAGGGCATGATTAACCTCATATCCACACAGTTGACTTATCGATATCATATCGATATAAGCAAATATCAGATGAGATTCCAAAAAAATTACCCATCAGGACGAGGGCAAAAAACGAGTTCTTGCCGTGGTTCGAACACGGGGCCACCAGATTTGCAATCTGATGCTCTACCACTGAGCTACAAAAACCGGCGAAGGTGGTGCCACTATGTACGCCGTAACAAGCTTCTAGTTATTCTGCGATTTTCTGCCATTAAATTATTCGCGCTGTGGCGCCGATGCGCAAGACCACCACCACCACCATCTCGAACGCGACAAACCATCCACCACTCGTTGACGCACCAATCCAGCCATCGACACGTAAAGAACGGTAAGCCGACGCGACTTGTGACAACGGTGCTCCCTCCAAGACGCGTCGCAAAATGGGCGACGAGGAGACATTTGGCGACATGACCAGGCGGTGGATGTGGATCGGCGTCCAGGCTCTGACTTTCAGCGGCAGTCCCAGCGCAGGAGGGCCCATGCCAAGGAGGCCGGAGAGATAGGCAAGCGGCAGGTGGTCGCGGGACGGCCAGTTTCACTACATTTTAAGCGCAAATCCGAGTCTCGAGCGCTACGCGAGGAAAAAATGTGCTCTGTCGTCCTTCCCTGGATAGCATATATCGTCGACGTCATCGGTCAGCTGCGCGAGCTTCAGGGTTTGGGGTCAATGCCAAACACCGATGACTCTGGCGTTCCTTCTACTTACGGTTTAATGCTGACCACTAAAATGTTAGATAGCCATGACGATCTTATAATCGAACCGAGGTCCGCCCCATAGCGATAGAGTAAAGTAAGTCCATGCAAGCATTATATTTGTACTGATTTCTGTTCGAATAGCGATATCCTTCGTCTCCCAGTTTGTGCCTTCCCATCCTATAAGTTGTTCGGAATAATGTGGCCCTCCTTTTCTCCTCTGCTTCATGAAGCAAGAAACTGGACGCTCACACTCGCGCTCTTCATCACTTTTTGCGGAACAAATTCCAACCCGCCGCCCACCCCCGCACCCGCAGGGCCACTGGCCCCGGCGACCATGGACCTCCCCATCGGCATCGGCCTTTGCATCCCAATCGCAGCGTGCCCACCTCCCTGCCTGATCTCCACGCACTCAACCGTCTTACACCCAACCACATCCGCAAAATCCCGCGCCCGCTGCACCGCATCCTCCAGCGCCTCCCTCCGCGACTGCACCGCCAGCAACTTCTCCGTCCCCTCCGTCAGCGTCCACGTCACCCCCTTGACGCTGACCAGCGGCATTTTTGCGAGCATGTCCGTCATAGCGCCCAGGCGCGCAAAGTCGCGGAACGTGATGTCGAAATGCGTGCGCGCGCCGTACGTGCGCCCCCCCGTCGCCTTCCCCTCTCTGTCGGTGTCGGCGCGGGACCACGTGCTGAGCGCCTCGAGAGCGTAGAAGCTGATGGGTGCGTCGGGGGAGACCTCCCCACCACCGCCCTCGGTCAGCGGGCGCAGCTCGTCGAGCTCTGATTGGAGCTTGCGTGCGGTTGCAGTGACAGCGGTGGAGACGGTGTCCTGCGCGGGGCCCTCGGAGGAGATGTCCACAGACATGGCGGCGCGCTCGGCGAGGCGGGAGATGGTGGATTGGCCTTCAACGTGGATTGTGACGGGCGCCATGATCAGATGGGGGTTTATCGACTAGAAGGATGGCCTAATTATACGGGAATACAGCACTAGCACTGCTTCGACAGCTTGGTGGCAATACTGAGGCTGAGGGACGGACGCCACATGAGTGGCGGTCAAGCCACAGCCGTTGCATAGCCGTGTCAGTTTAGCTATTGAAACCTTGTCTATATGCATTAACAGTTATGCTGTATAAATATATGGATGAGGGGACACGGGTATGCGCATGCTGCACGAGGAGCAGGAGAAGTTCTAATATTTGGTAGTGTTATTAGGTACGCCTGGTCTGATTGGCCACTCACACTGACGATTGAAATTCACAGCAACATATCCAATGTTCGCAAGGGCTGGGAAGTTGGATGACAGAAACGATCCTCAAATGGGGAAGATGCGGAGAAGAAACGGGGGGAAGAGATGATGATCTGAAATGAAAGAACCGTGACAGCACAGACGCCGAGCCGTTCAATTTTGACTCCCTTGAGCTTCACCCAAGTTTCACCCTCGACCACCTTTCAGCCACCTCTTTGACCTCATCGGCTTATCTATGCCTTTCAAACGGCAGAATTCTGGGAGCAGACGACCAAAAACGGAGCGCGACTGACAGTGCAGTTGCTCGTTTGCCGCACCACCGTGCGGCTAGTATAGCTGATGCACTACCAATTCCTCGCGGTGACCTGACATCGCAGACACGATGCCATTTCGATGCATTTCGCTACGATCGTTAACTGCTACTTCTTTCCCCGCTCGTGAGCAGCGTGCTCCTCTGCTTATTTGACAATAAAAGCTGTCAGAGGACCGTGTGTAGGCAGCAGACTGCACTAGTACTAGAAGGTCTAACTGGTCTAACACACAGTCTACAGATCGTGCAGATGTTCAGCTTCAATTGTCTATCTTTTCTGCTGACCGACTGCAGGCTGAGTACTTCTCAGAGTAGTCTGCCGCACCACATTCCGAACACGCCATGCAGCCTCCCTTGCTTTGAGTGGATACTCATCAAGGCGTGAATGCGTGTATACGTCCTATGTATCTGCCCCGAGGCATGACCAATGCGCTTTCTGACTAGATTTCTGACTCGTTACCGCACCAGAGTCCCGAGTCGCTCCCCACGCTCTCCCCACACTCCCAATATTATCTCATGGACCGATAGCTGAGGCAGGTTTGTCATGGTGGAGCTGGGGCACGCGAGTGGCTCGGACATCATAACCTTTTTGTGCACGCAAGCGTAATCTGCAGGTATTGACAAGCTTGAATCTCGACCATCCCTACGCGGGTTCAAGCTCTAACAGTTTCTGTCGGGAGGTTGGGCGCAAATCGCCAGCCACCACGATTAACAAGAGTAACGGCAGACTCATATCTATCCCGCTCAAATTTTACTTCGGCTTCAAGTTCTCAGCCGTGTTCGTCCCACCCGGCATCCTCAGCATACACGGACTCCTATGCACACCATACCCACTCCACTCTCCCCCGAACTCCTTCAAATCGATATCCAATGAATCCACATCCTCAAAACCCCACTTCAAATACAAATTCCGCCCTCTCATCTGCGTGCTTAGCCAGACAGGCAGCGCGCCCGCCCCGAGCATGTCGAGCCCGTACTTGAGCAGCGCAGAGCCGATGCCCCGCCGCTGGTGCGTGGGCACGACGTGCAATCCGTACCAGGCTACGTATCGCGAATACGCCGACATGTGCCGTATGCGCTTAGCTGCGAGCGAGCCGAAGAGGCGGCCGGCGAACACCATGTTCATGCCTTCCGGCGGGGAAGGTGGCTCCGACTTCTCCGCCGTTTCGGTCAGTGGCACGGCTGCAGAGGCGGCGTTGTCGACGAAGCTCAAATTTCCAAAACCCACGATCTCGCCGGTGGCGTTGTCGGTTGCTTTGAAGAAGTGCATATTGGGTTTGCGGAAATCTGCCTCGTAGCTGGAGAGGAGGGCCTTGGAGGTGAGGGTGAGGTCGTAGATGGAGTCTGGGAAGAGCGTGCGGTTGATGAGATCGGCTTGCATGGCGAGGGGCATGATGTGTGCGAGGGTGGGGAGGTCAGCGGCAGCGGCTTGGGCTATGGTGACGGTCGAAGCCATTGCTAGCTGCTATTGTTTATTACGATCCTTGAAATCAGGCGAGCTCGTGATATTGAGACGCACGAGAGACGAAGTGGGAGGGCAAGGTTGACAAGTGGAGTAAATAGCATGCAGGAACCTACTTGCCTATAAACAGCAACTGGCAATGGGGCACAAATGGGGCAGCGGAGCCGCGCTTGGATGAATGAGTCAAATGCCATCGGCGTGATTTAGAAAGGTATATACCAGCCGCGGGAGATAGGTTTCCGTCAAGTATGTACGCCAATAAAAAATGCACCTAGTCATGTAGAACACGTCGCCTAAGGGCTGCTCGATATATGGGCAACATTTACATAGTCTAATCATATGGTTAGAACGTGACGCCCTCCGGGGTGGCCATAAATGTGAACTGCAGCGCAGATTCATCAGAGTCCACATCCATGCTGCCCCCACCCTCAACACGCGTCGCATTGTGCAGTCTGGTCGCATCTCTCCGCGCCTTCTTCGCTTCTTTCTTGAGGACCTTCCGGCTCATCGGGTTGCTCCGTGAAATGGCCGATGCCTCAACGGGTGCGTTGTATTCAGGGACATCTTTGTTTCGCCTCTGCCGCTTCGGCATGCGAGTATGTCTGGATTGTGCTTCTGTTTCAGTCGTCGACGGAGCGATCGATGGAGCGATGGAAGCGGTTGGCGAACGAGACCGCTTGCGCGGTATTATAGGAGTCAGATCATCTGACTCCATTTGGTTTCTGCAAGCAAGTCGATGAGCATAGACGGGAGTGCCACGACATGAGATACATACCCATCCTCATCCATTAACTCCTCAGGATCTGGCACGAATCCATCATCGTCGGCCATATCCGCATCTCCGTCCTTACCACCAAACGCGCCTGCATCCGCCGCCCCGAATAAGCCGGCCAACTCGAATGGTTTGCTTAGCTCGGTGAGGATCTGCGCTTGACCAATGGTCTCAGCACCAGGAGCGATGACAGTGGCTCCTGTTCCCGCCACGACAGAGGGTATCGAAGAAGGATGTATAGTGGGCGGTACGGAGAAGTAGGGTATCTTTTGGTGGTTCCAGTCGACTAACACCTGGCGTGCAGCTGTAATGATATCGGGAGTGCCGCCCTAAAGCGCGATGTGAGACCGAGTCGGCGATGTTCGAGGAACGCGCAAACCTTGAGCAATCTTCCACTGCTTAAAGCAAGCATGGTCAAGAATTCGAGAGTAGATGTGAACTCGGGGAGGTTGTAGATTTTCTGGACCTCCTCGTGTGCCGTCCTTGCGAGTATCTCTTCGACTGGGAAAATGAAGGGTTTCAACATTATGAGCGCCAAATATAATTGTCCAACTCACCGACGGCAATGGGGTCATCGATATCCTCCACCTTGACCACATTCCTTAGCAGCACACTGCCCTTCTTTCCGCCTTTGCCGTCCACATCGTCTTCCTCGTCAA